ATTTTAACAATAATTTTTGTAACAATTATTGCATGAATGAATTTTTATAATTATTATATATTTTCACTTTTCACTGCCTACTTTTTTAATAATTTTTATATTTTTCAAAATAAAGGGTAAAAATAAAAATAGATATTTAGAAAATAGAGAAGAGGGTTGGAAAGGTTTTTTTCATTAATTATCATTAAGAGTACATCTTTTGAACCGGTTCAGAAGAAATTCTGATCATCTTGAACCTTTGGGAACTATTTTAAATTTATGGTTATGTAATCTTTTAAAGAGTATGCGAAATTCTTCTTTGAACCGGTTAAACCGGTTCAAAACCACATCTTAAAACCTTGACTTTTGGGAAACGTTTTGGTTGTGTATTGTGAAAAAATAGGGAGAAAATTTGGTTTTCTTTAAAATTTTTACTCCCAAACCGGTTTGATCAAAATACCTCTTAAACCTTTTGGAAACTCCTTGAACTTTTGGACTCTGACGACGGAGTGGTTGAATGATCGTTTAACTAATGGGAGGGGCTAAATGGTTGGACCCCGCTGCCCCCAACGACTTGGAGGGGTGGTTAACTACTCGTATCCTCCTTTTTCATCCTGTCGAAAATCTCCCCGACGAATTCTGTTTCCAAGGAAGGCTTTTCTGCGGCAGAGCGCTTAATGTTTTGTTCAGCAATCTCCGTGTCGTTTCCAAGGTTGGCCCAGAAGTTCTGAAAGTAAAAAAAATTTTAGTTGGGCCAAATTTAAGATTAAAATTACCTTTTCTTCCCGTTCTTCTTTTTCTTCTTTTTTCTGCTTTTGATGTTTCCGGTAACAGCAGAAGCCGACGACACTGAGGCCAATTACAGCAATCACCACAGAAATCACCACAGCTATCCAAATCACGGCATTACTTCCTCCTTCGGTGCCCTGTACTCCTTGAACTCCTTGCACGTTTGGTGTAGTTCCGTTCACCTTTTGTGGCGTTGGAGGTGGAGCTGTTTTTCCAGGTGTTAGTGGTGGTGAGGTACCTGCTTTTGGTTTGGGTGTTGTTGTAGTTGTGCTTGTAGTCGTTGTTGGTGGGTCGACTTGAAGAAATTCATAGGCTGGCCTTTTCTGAAAGATAAAAGTTAGTTGAATTTTTTGAAAGATTAAAGTCTTACAAACTGAATGAAGAGATCACAGTTTGGTTTTGTCGTAAGTGGTCCCATGAATACGTCTCCTTCGTACCTTCTTGTAGCATTTGGCGGAAGTAGATGGAAGACGAGCAGATGTTTATCCTTCAGGTCTCCAACTCCATCTTTGATTTTCCATGTTTTTGGTTTGGCAATGGCATTTTCTTTTGGAAGGCAGCTAATCGACTCTACTTTGGTGTCAAATTTTGATTTCGCATGTTCCTCAAAATCCATTGTGAAGCTGCTATCGCTATCTATCATCAGATTGAATTCCATCTTTTCACCACGTGGTCTTTTTTGATCTAGCCCAGTCTTACGCTCACCAACTAAATTGGTTATTTTAAATAAAAATTATCGTTATCTTACTTAGATGGGTGTGAGCGTATACATATAATGTTGGGTCCTTGAGACATTGACTCCATGAAACTTCGAGAAATGTATGCTTCATGCAGTTTCCCCCGCACTCATTTTTTTCAGCACACGCAGTACCACCATATAAAGGACTCTTGTTGAGCTCTTTGAGTTCCTCATTGGTTCTGCTGTACGCGAAGGGCAGTCTTTAAAGAAAAATATTTACCATACTGTACTCCTTTAATCGGCAAAAACTTAGAACTTACAGATTTGAAAAGCCATTCTCAAAATAGTGAAGATTAGGCTTGCACATTTCTGGTTTGCAGTTATTGTCTTTCACTCCTGTTTTGAAATTGATCGTGCTCCTCTCGTCGGTGATCAGCTCCACAGTGCACCCTCTGCCTTCGTATAGAAGCTCACTGAAAAATTAAAAATGTTTTTTCCTCAAATCTTAAAGAAAAAATCAACTTACATGTGGTCGTCGGTGATCAAGAAATTACAGACAGTAGGAAAAAGCTTCTTATACTCGGCATACTTCAAGTCCTTGCCGGCCGGCTTACTGACTGGTTTGAGCGTTACAGTGTTTCCATCCTTGGTGTGTTTGGCAACTCCGACTTCCTCAGCGTTGGCCTGTCCAGGAACTGCGAGCATCAGGAGCGCGGCGATGGATACCAGCAGCAGAGCACAAAGCGTCGACGACTTCCTTGCCAAAGGTCCGGTGTTGTGGTCCATTGGATGAAGGAGGCAGAAGAGCATGAAGCGGTGTTTTGTTGTTTGTTTGGACGATGTTGACGTAGAGTTGAGGTGATTGAAGATTTTGTTGCGTTTGGAGGGAAGAATGAAACAGCCAACAAGGCTTTTATAGTAAATTTTGGTTTATTGGAGTTTGTCAGATTCATGAACTTTTAGAATTCAATTGTAAATTCTTGGAATCTTTAGCTAATTTATTCATTAATTGCCTATTAATCACTTACACTCAGCGTTTTTCCGGTTCCTAAAAATCAAATATTTCCTCGGTTCCGGTTCAGGAATTGGACGAACACACAAAATAATCTAACTCAGGAATGTGTGAGCCCTAAAGCAAAGGGTTTGCTTTAGGGCTCACTTGACCCTAAGCAAAGGGTTTGGCGCTGCTACCCGCTTCTTATTCTCCCTATTACGGAAAAAATTCATAACTTTTTTTTAAATGGCGATAAAAAATTTATTTTTTTGTCAAAATATAAATTGGAATGCTAACTATGGTTTACCAAAAAAATCAAAAATTTTGACCGACCTATCTAAAAGTTATGAATTTTCTAGCAAGGTACTAATTTTCCTTAAAATATGACTAAAAAATGAGGTACTTTTTTCTAAAAATTGCCATAAATTGATTTTCTAAGAAAAAATTCCAAAATTTATATCATTAAATAGAGGACATTTCAAACTATCCAAAAATATTAAATTTATAATTTTTCCTTGAGATCTCGTTTTTTTAAGAATTTTTTAAATAAAATGTCTACACGGCCCATTTCGCAGTGTAACAATTTAACCCTCCACCTCTACCGTATTCTTTTCCTCTTTCTTTTCTTATTCATTTCTTCGGCGCAAGGATTTTTCTCTTTTCTTCGTTTTGTAGGGGAGAATAAAAAATCAGAATACAAATCAGAATAAAAACAGAATAAAAAAATCAGAACAAAAAAAATCAGAATAAAAATCAGAATCAGAATAAAAAAAACAGAAAAAAAATCAGAATAAAAATCAGAATAAAAAACAGAAAAATCAGAATAAAAAACAGAATAAAAAACAGAAAAATCAGAATAAAAAACAGAATAAAAAAACAGAACAAAAAAATCAGAATAAAAAACAGAATAAAAAAACAGAAAAAAATCAGAATAAAAATCAGAATAAAAAACAGAAAAATCAGAATAAAAATCAGAATCAGAATAAAAAAAAAAACAGAAAAAAAATCAGAAAAATCAACAAAAAAACAGAATAAAAAACAGAACAAAAAAATCAGAATAAAAATCAGAATAAAAAACAGAAAAATCAGAATAAAAATCAGAATCAGAATAAAAAAAAAACAGAAAAAAAATCAGAAAAATCAACAAAAAAACAGAATAAAAAACAGAACAAAAAAATCAGAATAAAAATCAGAATCAGAATAAAAAAACAGAAAAAAAATCAGAATAAAAATCAGAATAAAAAACAGAAAAATCAGAATAAAAAACAGAATAAAAAAACAGAAAAAAATCAGAAAAATCAGAATAAAAAACAGAAAAATCAGAATAAAAATCAGAATCAGAATAAAAAAAAACAGAAAAAAAATCAGAAAAATCAACAAAAAAATCAGAATAAAAAAAAAGAAAAATTTCTAGGAAAAAATATTTTCGTTTGCCCAAACGTCTCGCATTAATTTTTTCTATTCCCTATGTATACTTTTTTTGAAATAAAGTTTAGTGTTATTTCCATTTGACCTCTACTCGGTTTAGGATCCGGGAATAAGAAGATTTCCATGTAGATGCCAATCCTAGTCCTATGCTATTTTTCTCATAAAATTCAACTTAAATATTGCCAGCCTCCTAATAAAAATTGTTTATCTATTTCAATACATTTATTACAACAATATACATATAATACATACAATACAATATATAATGAAAAATAGCAGGGAATACAACAATCAACCTGCAAATATATAGGGAATATAGGTAGATATAGAGGGGGTCATTTATAAAATTAAATACAATTTTTGTTGAGAGATTTGGAAAGAATATAGGGGGGATTTGAGAATAGAGAATGAATGATTTACAATTACAGATTATATTCTCTATATATCTCCAATATATCTTTTCATCTCCTAATTTTGTTCTTAGCCGCAACCTTCATCACCAATATATTCTCTTTTCTCTTCTCTTTAGCATCCGACATCATTTCCGCTTCAGCTTGCCGCCCTTCTTCTTGCTGATTTTCTCATTCTCAGCCCTTTTCGCAATCGCCTTTTCGACTCTGCCGTCGAATTCTTCCAAAGTCTCGCCTTTTTCCGGGATCATTCCACTCTGAAAATGAAAGAAAAATAGATTTTCTTCATGTATTTGTCAATTCACCTTCTTCCGCCACTCTCGGAAAGTCCCAATTGCATCGAAACCTCTTTCCTCCAATGCCGGTAGATACAATTTGTAGAGAATTTTTTCGCTTTTTAAGGCGTTGTCCGTATCCTCCTTTTTCATCCTGTCGAAAATCTCCCCGACGAATTCTGTTTCCAAGGAAGGCTTTTCTGCGGCAGAGCGTTTAATGTTTTGTTCAGCAATCTCCGTGTCGTTTCCAAGGTTGGCCCAGTAGTTCTGAAAGTAAAAAAAGATTAGTAGGTCAAATTTAAGATTAAAATTACCTTTTCTTCCCGTTCTTCTTTCTCTTCTTTTTGTTGTTTTTTATGTTTCCGGTAACAGCAGACACCGACGACACCGAGGCCAATTACAGCAATCACCACCACAGAAATCACAGCTATCCAAATCACGATACTGCTTCCTCCTTCGGTGCCCTGTACTTCTTGTACTCCTTGCACGTTTGTTGTAGTTCCTGGCTCCTTTTGTGGCGTTGGAGTTGTTTTTCCGGGTGGTAGTGGTGGTGATGGTGGTGGTTGTTTGATACCTGGTTTTGGTTTGGTTGTTGTTGTAGTTGTGCTTGTAGTCGTTGTTGGAGGTGTTGGAGGGTTGACTTGAAGAAATTCGTAGTCTGGCCTATCCTGAAAAATAGAAATTAGTTGAATCTTTAGAAATGGAAAAGATTACAAAGTTTATGAAGAGTTTACAGCTTGGTTTTTTCCCAATAGCAGGTTTTCCCACATTGTTGCCTTTTTTGATCAATCGTGTAGCCGTTTGCGGAAGTAGATGAAAGACGAGCAGATGTTTATCTTTCAGGTCTCCAACCCCATTTTTGATTTCCCATGTAGTTGGTTTGACAATGGCTTCGTTTCGTGGAGCGCATTGAATGCTCCCGTTGTCAGAATTTTTTGATCTGGTGTCAACCATCATCTTGAAGCTGTTACTATATATCTCCAGATTGAATTCCGTCTTAGTGCCCAATTCTAACTCCTGGCCCTGTGTAACTTCACCAACTAAACAAATATTTTAAGGTAAAAATAAATTGTTATCTTACTTAAATGGGTGTGAGCGAATATAAAATCATCGCATGTGCTCCATGAAATTTCAAGAAAAGTCTGTTTCATGCAGGTTCCACCGCAGGATTTTCGATCAGCACACTTGATTGTTCCATCATAGAACAGACTCTCAGCGAAATTTTTGATGTCCCTGTTGTTTCTGCTATAGGCGAACGGCAAACTGAAATAATATTTGTTAGTTTTTTAAAATCGAATTCAATTTTAACTTACAGATTTGAAAAACCATCTTCAAAGCTGGCCTCACGATCGTCACATTTATCCAGGTTACAGCCATCTTTAACGTATCCAGTCGTGAATTTGATCATTTCCATTTTCTTTTTAGTGATTAATTCCACAGAACACCCTTCGCCTTCGTATAGAAGCTTACTGAAAAATTAAATATTCCTTCGAATCTAAGAAAGAATCAACTTACATGCCATTATCGGTGATCAAAAAATTGCACACAGTAGGAAAAAGCTTCTTGTACTCGGCATACTTCAAGTCCTTGCTGGCCTGCTTAGTGACTCCTTTGAGCGTCACACTGTTTCCATCCTTGGTGTGTTTGGCGACTCCGACTTCCTCAACGGCCTGTCCAGGAACTGCAAGCACCAGGAACGCGGCGATGGATATCAGCAGCAGAGCACAAAGCGTCGACGACTTCCTTGCCAAAGGTCCGGTGTTGTGGTCCATTGGATGAAGGAGGCAGAAGAGCATGAAGCGTTGTTTTGTTGTTTGTTTGGACGATGTTGACGTAGAGTTGAAGTGGTTGAAGATTTTGTTGTGTTTGGAGGGAAAAATCAAACGAACAACAAAGCTTTTATAGTAAATTTTGTTTTATTTAAGTTTGTCAGATTCATGAACCTTTAGAATTTAATTGTAAATTCTTAGAATGTATAGCTAATCAGAATAATTAATTTTTAAAATTGAAAGAATCATTTAGCCATGATTCACTTTATTGAAATTCCTTTGGGTTTTAATTGCTTGTTTATATTTTAAGCGGGTACAATCAATGTTCTTCCGGTTCCTAAAAACATTTCCTCTGTTCAGGTTCAGGAATTGGATGAACACACCAGGAGCCGTATCATAAGAACTCGGTCACCTGACGATGGTCACCTAACTATCGTCACTTAACCGTTGTTATGATACCGCTTAAAACCACTTGTTGATGATTACTTAACCAGCACCTTAGTTCTTATGATACGGGCCCAGGATTGTGCCATTTCGTCTTCCACCCTTCGTTTTTTAAAATTTGTTTCGGCACATCCCTGGAACACTTACATTAATCTAACTTAAGGAATGTGTGGTTCGAATAAAAAATATTTGTGTTTACAGCAGCAATGTTTTAGAAATCTTAGAAATCTCAAACATCTCAGCCTCCTTTTTTTCAATTAATCAGTTCTCCCCTATTCTTCCTAGAGAGAAATTCATTAACTTCATTATCATTGCAAGTCAAATTTATTTATTCATTAATTCAAAAACAATAATACTATTTATTTATTATATTTTTTAACTTTCCGGACCTGGGTATCTCACCTGATTTTATTTTATTTTTCAATTTTTTTTTCTATTAAAATTTCTCGTTGTGTAATCTCTTTGGAATGCTTCCTTTTTTAATTAAAAAATTTTATTTTCATTTTTACTGATAAAAATGATTAAATAAAAGAAAGGAAAGAGGGGAATTAAATAGGAAGAGAATCATCCTTAAACACTTTTCTATTTTAAGGAAAATTTTTCTGTTTAAAGGAGGTTAATTCCGGTGTTAGATAATTTTGTAAATTAAATTTTTCTTTTAAATCGTAATCATCTTTCTCGGTAAGGAAATTATGAAAAAGCTACAAAGGCGTTTAAGAACTTATGCCGATCTGGACAAAGTAGAAAGCACTCAATCAGTTAACTCTATTCTTACTAAAAAAGGAATTCTAATTAGTGATAGGTCGTGTTGAACCCGAACACGACCCCGAATTCCCCGCAACCCCCGTCCCCGCAACCCCCGTAATACTGAATCCTAGTTCAAACCTCAATTAGTCACATTGATTATAAATAGTTGGAACTAAACTAATTTGGATTAGAAATGAGATTTCTTGTGTGGAGGGGGATTGTCATGAATTTTGATTTTACATACATACACAAAATTTACATCTCTCAATTTTACTTCCAATTTTTTTTCTTTAATTTAGTTTTATTAATTTAACCTTCAATTTTAAATACACATTCGTTTTCACATACACTCATCCCAAGGCTTATCTATCTATCCCTAAGGACTTTATATATTCAAATCCTTAAGTTTTTTTGCCTGAACCAAAAATTCGGCAAGCTCAAAAAATCTTGAAACAGGAACCAAAACGCATTCAACTATTTTCCAAGGTCAATAATTTGCTGATTTTCGGATTTACAAGCAAGCATGCTTCATATTCGGTATTGCCACTTGGCTAAATAAAATCTGCAGACCGACCGATCACTCATTCAAATTTCCTTTCCTCTATTTTACCCTTTCATCTTTAATGTTTTTAAAAATGTCTCTCCCATGTTTTTACAATTTTTTGTATTAAATTTGCATAAATTGATCGGCCAAATCACCCACCAACCAACCTACATTTTCAATGTCAATCGATGTTTTTACATTTTATTGTCCAACCGTTACTATTGTTGTACATTTTATTTATATTTTTATATTCATCTTTTAACGGCGTACAAACAAACAAAAAACCCAAAACCTTTCTTTTCTTTTTACTTTGCTTATATTCAAACAAAACAATCGCAACGCTATAACGCTATTGTTATTGTTGAGGGAGGAAGTAGGGATGTTTTGGCGCAAGGGTTGTTTGGCGCAAGTGGAAGCCCGCAAGCGGGGTATTGCCTAATATTTTGTTATAACTTTTGAAATACGTGGCTTAATTTTCTGAAAGTTATAGAGTATATAGTTAACACTATCGAGGATATTTCTAAAAAATTTCAAATTTTTAGGCCTACCCATTGATTTTTTATGAATTAAAGGGAAGCCTAAAAAAGCGTATTGTGCCTACAACAATGAGCTTTTTCTCCATAACTTTGGAAATACGAAACCGAAAATTCTGAAATTCATAGCCAACATAGTTTTCATTATTGGCGACATTTCTGTAAAATTTCAAATTTCTGGGCTGCCCCTTAATTTTTTATGAATAAAGGCGTATTGTTGTTATAACAACAAAACGCCTTTACAACAACAATTCGCCCTTTCTCCATAACTTTCAAGATACAGAACCAAAAATTTTGAAATTTATAACTGACCTAGAAAATATTATTGTCTATCAATCTACAAAATTTCACATTTCTGGGTTCACCCCTTAATTTTATATTTACACGCGCGCCGTAACAAACCTGCGCCGAATTTCCCTTTAATTTTACTTAATGGCTTGGTTCTTTCGTCCACAAAAATATTTATAGTTATTGTATATTTTATTGTATAGTCTGTGGGCATTGTCGGCCCCATTGCCTAGTTTGTGTGTTATTATTTTTTTTTTACTTTTTTTCCTATTCTTTTTTGTCAATGCGCACCTTGAAAATCTTAAAAATTATTACAATTTTTTTAAATTAAGTGGGGGGGGGGGGGGGGGGGTTGTTGTTGCCCAATTGTTTTGAGTAAAAAAATATTTTATGAGAGAGAATTTCTTTCAAGTACCCTTTTTTAAATTAAAAAGACCCTCTTTAAATTTAATAAAAATTAATTTAAAAAAATATTTTCGCAATTTTATTTGTTTTGAATTTTTTAAATTCTTGAGTCAACTACTTAAAAATAAATAAATTTTAATTAATTCTCTTTTTAAAAAATTTAATAATTTAATTAAATTTAATTCAATCCACCTCTATAAATTTAATTATATTTACCTAATAGAGATGGAGATTTTTGAAAAGCCTGGGCCTGTTCGTGGGTTCTGGATTTGATTTATTGACCTGGCCAGATCCTGGGCCTGTATGTAGTCCAGGAAAACCCAGGAAGGACAAAAAATGCCTACGCCTAGACTCTGGGTACAGGAAAAGCCAAGGCCTTTGTTTAGACCCAGCTCGATCTCTAGTACCTAATTTAATATATGTACTCTTTCTAATTTAACATCCATTTTTATATTTTTTTTTTTGAATTTTTAGCCAACTCTTCATCAATCATCCTTCATATTCCCTTAAAAAATTTTTTTTTTTAATTTTATTTTCATTTCTTTATTGTATTCTAATTAAAAGACTCTCTTTAACTTATGTATCTCCCATGTTTTATCCCTCTAAATCCCCCTCCATCTCAAGTTTTAAGATTACGACAAAATGTCACACCGTTGTAAATGCGACAAAATGCCACAAATTTAATTAAAATTTAATAAATAAATTCTTATCAAATTTTGATAAAATTTATTTTATTTAAATAAATTAATAAATATTAAACAACCAATAAATAAATAAACTAATAAAATAAAAAGACGGCAACTTCCTTCACTTTTTTTTTACTTTTTATTATTTTCAATGTTATGTTTAATGGGTGATTTTTTCCCTTTGATGGTGCGCTATTCAAAATTAACGGGGCAATAAAAAATTTATATTTATTCTGACAAAATATATACTTTTTGGGAAATGATTTTAAAAGTACAATTTTGAGATATTGATATGTAGATTCTTTATTTTATTCTAATTAAAAGACTCCTTAATTTATGTATATCCCATGTTTTATCTCCTTACATCAAGCTGTTCTAAGGTTTTAGGTAGACGACCCTTTTGGCATTAGCTTTATTTATTTTCTGGCATTTCAGTTTTTTTTATATTGAGGCAACACAGATCTCGATTGAACATCGTCCCATACGACGTCACTTTACATTTTAAAAATTCGATCTCGACTAAACGTGCTATTGAGATCAGGGCCTTTTTTCTTAATTTTGAGTATTTCCCCCTTTTTGACCTCTTCGCACCTTTTTCTTCCTTTTTC